TAAATAACTCTGAAACTCAACAACTTTTTAAATGGCGGTGTTGTGATTGAAGCTTTGTAATAAAAATAAAAATTTGGTTGACACCATCTAACAGGATAAGCTGATACGACTTTTCTTTTTACAAATATGATTTTTAAAATAAGTTAACTTAAACCCATTCCCATTTCGATTTGTTACATGTTAGAAGATTGCAATGCAGTGGACGATATGAATGACAAGCTCGTGGAAACTAACCATGCGGTCGGAGCTAAGTTCTGCAAGACCCGCCGCTGAAGAACACAAAAACTCTCCGATCGCACTCTTGATCTCATGGCTGTTAGACGGGAGATGAGGCTGCAATCGTCAACAGATTTGAGAGCATACAGGCAACTGAACAGACAGATCTCCAAATGCATGCGGCGAGACTTACGCAAGTCTAATACTGCTCGTATTAAAGAAGCGATCGAGCGGAACCAGGACTCCAAAGTCTTTGCCAGAGATCTGTCTGCCAAGAGCCAACTGTCAAAGACTGAGTGTGGCAGCATCGTTTCCGGGACACCTGATTGAGAGATTGAGAGGTTCTATGGGCAGCTGTAGACATCATCGTTGGAGCCACACGCAAGCGTGAGTAACGATCCAAGTGCAAGTCTTATCCGATACTATTCCGATGATATCCCGGACGTCAGTCTGAGCGAGATTAGAATGGCTCTCCAGCACCTTAAAAACGGCAGGGCCCCACGCGAGGATGGAATTACAGCGGAGCTTCTGAAAGCGGGTGCAACACCGGTACTTGAAGTCCTTCAGAAGCTCTTCAATTCCGTCCTCCATGGTGGCACTACTCCGGAGGCGTGGAGCAGAAGTGCGGTGGTCTTGTTCTTTAAGAAAGGCGACAACGCTCTCTTGAAGAACTACAGACCGATTTCCCTTCTGAGCCGCGTCTATGTGCTGCTTTCAAGATTCATTACGAATCGTCTCGCACGCAGACTCGACGACTTCCAACCTCCCGAACAAACCGGTTTCTGAAAAGGCTTCAATACCATAGACTACATACATACCCTGCGGCAGATTGTACAGAAGACCGAAGAGTACAATCTGCCACTTTGCCTGGCGTATGTGGACTATGAGAAAGCCTTTGATTCCGTCGAAATTTGGGTGGTTCTACAGTCCGTTCAGCGGTGCCAAGTTGACTATCGGTATATCGAAGTGCTGAAGTGTTTGCCCTACTGGGCTACAATGGCTTTCCGAATACAGAACCAGAGTTCGAAACCTATCCAACTACAGATAGATGTAAGACAGGGTGACGTAATATCCCCGAAACTCTTCACCGCTGCGTTGGGTGACGTTTTCAACCTACTGGACTGGAAAGCATACGGTATGAACATCAATGGCGAGTACATCACTCACCTTCAATTTGCCGACGATATAGTCCTATATGGCAAAATTGCTGGATGACCTTAGCACTATGCTCAATGACCTCAATGGTGTCTCCCAACGGATAGGTCTTAAGATGAACATGGACAAAACAAAGATCATATTTAATGTCCATGTCACACCTATGCCGGTAGTTGTTGGGAGCACTATGCTCGAAGTTGTTGACGAGTACGTTTACCTGGGACAAATAGTCCGACTAGGTAAGTCCAACTTCGACCGAGAGGTCAATCGACGGATTCAACTCGGCTGGGTAGCGTTCGGGAAATTACGACACATCTTCTCGTCAGGTATACCTCAATCTCTGAAACTAAAGTGTACAACCAGTGCGTGTTGCCAGTGATGACTTACGGATCTGAGACGTGGTCCTTCACTGCTGGCCGTATGAGGACGCTCCAAGGTCGCTCAGCGAGCTATGGAGAGGGCTATGCTCGGAGTTTCTCTGCGTGATAGACTCAGAAATGAGGATTTCCGCAGTAAAACCGGAGTGACCGACATAGCCCAACGGATTAGTAAGCTGAAGTGGCAATGGGCCGGCCATATAGCTCCAAGAACCGATAACCGATGGGGAAGAAAGGTTCTCGAGTGGCAGCCTCGTACCGGTAGGCGTAGTGTAGGGCGACCCCCCACTAGATGGAGTGACGACCTGGTAAGACATGCAGGAAATCGATGGATGCAGGTGGCTCTGGACCGTGCTTTGTGGCATTACTTGGGGGAGGCCTATGTTCAGCAGTGGACTTGTGAAGGGCTGTGGTTGAGCGGCGGGCCTATTCCCCGGTCGAGCCTCGACCCTATTACGCGAGATGTTACACTATGTGGACTGTATACGCGGATGATGCCTAAACTAGGTGGCGGATTTGGCACGTGGTTTCCTAACAATACACTCACTCTTCCAAGAAAACCTATTGCTTGCCAAGGTTTATGAAGGAACCCCTGCTTGACCACATTAGGAGGAATGAAATTGGGGCGGATGAACTAATTAAACACAAATTTCAAGTAGGGTAACGAAAATAAGGAATCGCACTTACCGGGGTGTTAATTCGATGCGGCTTAGACGCTTTGCTGCTGCGTTGCGACTTCTGGTGGATCTCCTGTGGCCCCAGAGATGCGGTCCTGGTCGATGGTGCGATGGAAGAGAGCGGTGCGCGACTATATCTTACACGAGGTGAGACGGTTACTCCTGGAGCTCGACTGCTCTAGGCTAATGCGGTTGAACTAGCTGTGCGCGTGGGCAAAGCCCTTTAGGACACGACTGTCCTAGGCGGTGTGGTGCCAACTGGCGGCCGAAGGGAAGAGAGCGCGCAAGTGCCGCGTGCTAGCTTATATTACTTCGGTCCTTCTTTCAAGGCGTCTCGGAGGGGCGCGCTTCTCATTGGTTGCAAATCACTCGACATTCTAGAAGTTTCTTCTTTCCCCTCTCACCCCACCACCCCGGTGTGTCAGAGGGACGCCAGGTGAAGGAAAGGTCGAAGGTCGAAGGAAGGACAAATCTTGGCAAGCATACCGTCGAATAATATAAAATACGAATGGTTTTCCGCGCAACCAGGCTATAATGATGATTATGATGACATGTTTTAAATTATATCCTGCATAGTGTAAAATAAACCTGTAGCAAAATAATAAACTTACTTTCAATAGTTTTATGGGTTTTCTCCGAATATCAGTTTTAAATATTTAAAAAAAATCAAATTAAAATATAAATTAAATTTTAAAATAAATTAAAAAAAATGTATCACGCATAATCAATTAAAAACATATGCGGACTATGATGTTTTGTTTATCGATAAAAAATATCGACATAGTCCGCGCCCTATGTTGCTTACGCATGTGGACAGCGGCAACAGTGTATCGACACGTGTACAATTTGATGGTATGCGTAAATGCAATGTATTATTTATCAATGTATTACTCATAATCAAATAAAAACATATGCGGACTGTGATGTTTTGTTTATCGATAAAAATATCGACATAGTCCGCGCCCTACGTTGCTTACGCATGTGGATAGCGGCAACAGTGTATCGACACGTGTACAATTTGATGGTATGCGTAAATGCAATGAACACAAACACAAATGCGGTAGTGTGCGTTTATAGTGACGCGATTTAATTTTGTGTTTGTAGTTAAGTATACAGTTATATGTTTTTCTTGCACCCCCCTGATGTTGACAGAATTTTTGTTTCGGAATTAACGCGCGTGGCCTATCCAGTTGGTTGAATACTCAAATGTTTCTTGATATCATCCCTATTCTCCGCTAGGAATAATAGTGTTCTGTGATCACTAGTCACTACACTACGTTTAGTAGTTATGTACTCATATTAGAAAATATAACTATGATATATAAATATTATATTATGAACTACTACGACGACTATTATACCAATGCAAAATAAATGACTAAGATTATAATAATATGGGTGTTATTTTCTACAGCCTTGAGTAATCCTTAATTTATTCATATACATTAGTCCATGGATCTATATAAAGACGTAGATATACTATAAGTCTATATTTAGATAGACATATACCTATCTACGTAATTATATACATAGCAGGAAAGTTGAAGGTTTGTAGTTGTTACAGATGGCGTCACCAATCGCTTTCCTTCTGAACCCATAGATTCAGTTCTAAACGTAGACAGAGAAACCTATAGACAAATTGACGCCTTCTTTCGCATTCGCACACGATAAAGATAGATTTATTCATACGTCTTGCATAGAAATGAGACAGAGTGGTGTGATTGTTTGTTCCTTTCTCCATGCCGGTTTTTTTGTTTAGCAAACTACACTTTGCTAAACAACTTTGACAGTTCGTAGCGGTGAGAAAAAGTGTTTTGTGAGCTTAAGATTGGTGAATCTTGTTCAGTTCAGTTCTTAGAACAATTAAAAATTTTATCTAAATATGCTTAAAAGACATAAAGATTATTGTATAACCTAAAAATACGTTATCGACGTTATCGTCCTTTCTCACTCGAGGCCACGCTAATCATTAGTCTATAGCTCTATAGGGTTTTAAACCCGTTGAGTAAAGCCTCTATTCCTATATAATTCCTATATAGAAAAAAGTACTCTGTGCTAGACAGTTTCTACCTCCGATAGGAGTAATAGTGTTCTGTGGTTTCTACTTACTATACCATAGATAAGCTATACTCTTTGGTTTGGTTTTTAGTGGGTTTTCGTTTCAACAAACAAATAGAATTTTTATTTTGTCTTGAAAATCTATTGTAATTCGTGATTGTATTTAAAGTCATTAAAGTGATACGCAATTAGTTACTACAATTGCAAATATATAGTGTTAAGAAGTGATTGCGAAGATTTCGTTGTTTTGCCGTGTCAACTTTCGCAGATCTTATAATTCACCTGGCAAACTGGACAGAGGACAATGATGGATTCGGACTCGTCCGGTGCGGACTTCTGTCGCTTCTGTAGGTCAGAAGCCTCTTCTGATCGGCCACTATTTCATCCCTGTATATGCACGGGTTCTATAAAATGGATTCATCAAGAATGCTTAGTGCAATGGATGCGATATTCTCGAAAAGAAATTTGTGAATTGTGTGGTCACCGATTTTCTTTCATGCCAATATATTCGCCTGATATGCCACGCCGTTTGCCTATACGAGATGTAGTGGGTGGGTTGGTTACTTCAGTTGCATCTGCAGTTAAAGATTGGTTGCATTATACACTTGTAGCCCTGGCCTGGCTAGGCATTGTACCATTAACTGCTTGTAGAACCTACCGATGCCTATTTTCAGGCTCTCTAGATCCCGTTATATCATTGCCATTTGATATAGTATCAGCAGAGAATCTAGCTAAAGATGTGTTCTCTGGCTGCTTTGTTGTGACATGCACATTATTTTCATTTATTGGCCTTGTTTGGCTTCGTGAGCAAATCATGCATGGTGGAGGGCCAGACTGGATGGAAAGAGAGAATCTCCCTGTGGCTCCTGCTGAGGAAATTCCACTGCCTGATAATAATAATGACCGCATAAATGAGGCCCCAGTAGAAGATGGAGGGGTGCGGGAGGAAGGAAATGGAGATGCAGGGGAAGATCCTTTAGTTGGAGATGAAGCTAATTGGAATCCGATGGAGTGGGACAGAGCTGCAGCTGAGGAATTAACATGGGCTCGTCTTCTGGGATTAGATGGATCAATGGTGTTTCTAGAACATGTGTTTTGGGTTGTTTCCTTAAACACTCTTTTTATTGTTGTGTTTGCATTTTGCCCTTACCACATTGGGAGACTAGGGGCTGCTGTAGCTGGATTAACTGCTGAGGGTCCTTTTGCCGGCCCTTTGACTGCTTTAGCAGGATATGTATTAGTTGGAACCATTTTGGCAGTGCTACATGGAATGGCATCATTGTTGCGCTTACGAAGTGCAAAGAAGGCCCTTGGTTTTTGCTATGTTGTTGTGAAGGTTGCACTGTTATCCGTGGTTGAGGTAAGTTTATTTTTTGAAAATATTTTGCTGTAGGATAGGGGTGGCCAATAAGTCAATCAAGTGGTCGATCATGATGCTTATTTTGGTTGGTCTGCAATGTCATAAAAAAGCGATTGAGATTACATCCTCATTAGAGTACATATTTAGAACTTTAGTTAGGGCAGGAACACAGTGTACAACTTGGTTAAGTTAAGTTTGCATTTGGTGTGGATGACATAACAACCAAAATAATCCAAACACTTAATAAATAGGAGCTGAAAATTGAGATATGCATACCAGTAATAAAGATGCAAACCATACTGATGTGATTGTATGAACGTGGGATTGAGAGCGGAGAAATGGAGGGTCGCACATTGTAGTGAGGTGCAAACTTAGCTCAACAGGGTTGTATGGACATAAAATGTAATTTTACACCTCCCTCTCGCCAATAAGATTTTTCTTATGACAATTTTGATTGCAATACATTTTTACTATAAAACATAGGTTAATAAAAACAAAAGTTGATCACCCCTGCTGTAGAAAAAGAGTAATAAAAATGTAGTAAGTACCAATTAATTCTAATTGGAGCGGAGCTCCTATTGCACAAGAAAACAATTTTTTGAAATCTATCTCCTATGTAACCCGTAGGCGAATTTACATAATTTTTTTGCAATATTTGTAGCTCAATGCAGACAAGGTTTGTAAACAATAAAAATCTGAATTTGATTTTTTTTTACTATCTAATCAATTTGCTTATTTACACCTGCACAATGTCACACCATTTGATTGAATCTTTTGTTGAAATAAAGATAGTTATGGCTTTAATACTTTTACTGTCCGTTTATGATGCTAGTAAAAGGTTTTACCTTTGCATCTACACCGGCACTAGTTAGAATAGGACTGCCCTGGCACCATATTGTGACATCATTGCTGTCAATTCAAATTAGGTAAGGATAGTGTGAGCAAAATAGATGTGAATAGAATAAAATTGAATTATTTTTATTCAATATTAATTATGTGTAATTCTTATTGAAAGTTACTTTTACTTTTACAATTGGCTCTGGAGAAAACCTCTGTCCTGGAAAGAACCTGAAAAAACCATGAACAAATAATATTAATCTGAATCTAACATTTCAATTTCCCTCCTCTCTGCATCACTGACTGAGAGTAGTCATCATTGTCATCATTATAATCACTGCTACTTTCCCTTATAAAAATAGAACATGCATGTATGTAGGTATTTAAAATATTCCACCAACTAGTACCAATATTTTAAATTCTATTATAAAAATAATTATGAGTTCAATAGATTTGGTACTAACTAAGATTCAGTTAATAAGCTAACAAAAAAAAGGTATTGATACACAAATTAATTTTCTTTGTAAGCTGTACTTTTGCAAGTGACAGTTGATAGATTGTGGTCATTAGAAAACATCAATATTACTATTATAATTTTAATTTTATTACATTGTAAATTATATTAAACTGTGGTTTGATATACTTTTGAATAAATGCATGATATACAGAATGACAGCATGACATGCTTATATATTTTGTCAACATTTAAGGTATTCCTATTTTTATATATGGCAACATTGGAGTGAACTTCTGCTTCCTTGTATGTGAGCTGTGAGCTTGACGAGAGTGTTGCCTCTGATTATTTTATATATTTAGTTTGAATGGTTCCCAGTAAACTGAAGTAGGGAATTTTCCTATGATAAAACACAAAATAATTAAAAATTACAGTTTATTATTAAAATAGTTTAATTGTTTTACTTTTATACTCAGTAAGTTATCAGATGTACTACCTGACCTAATGGCAGTCTAAGAATATCCAGTACACCATATTGTCACATGGTTGTCATAAGAGGTGACAGAGTGAAATTAAAACAGGTGAATGACATCAGCATCTACTGATAACAACTCAAAATAATAAATAACTGCAGTTCATAACCCGCTCACCAAGCATGTCAACTATGGCAAAATCCCCTCTATGAGGTAATCTATGGTGGAGGCCTATGTACAGCAGTAGTGGACTTTTATAGGCTGTAATGGTCATGGTAAGGTGTGTATAATTTATTTAATGTTTACTGTTTATCCAATGATTGAAAAATATGCACTAAATGTGATTAAAGTGTTATAAACACAAGGAATTTTATGTGTATTTTTATGTTTGTTTGGTAACCAGCCTCGGCAGTCATAGTAAATTTCTATAATTTGAGATATGCTACTGTCCAACAGTAGTCTGCTGTAAGAAAATGTGATAAATTATAGTAGACAATATCTTTATATATATTTTTATATATAAACTATGTGAAAACCATGTACCAAAAAGCTACATATACATGAAAAAGCTATACATAATGATGATAGAAGTTAGGTTTTTAATATTATAGAATTTATTGAAAATCATTTGAAAATAATGTATAAAATAATTACAGATTGGAGTTATACCACTTGTATGTGGTTGGTGGTTGGACCTTTGTTCTCTTTCTATGTTTGATGCAACCTTGAAAGATAGAGAGGCTAGTCTCCAAGCTGCACCATGGACATTAATGTTTATCCACTGGCTTGTTGGGATGGTCTATGTGTACTATTTCGCATCATTCATATTGCTTTTAAGAGAGGTCCTGAGACCAGGTGTGCTTTGGTTTTTGAAGAATTTGAATGATCCTGATTTCAGTCCTGTACAGGTTAGTCACTCACAACTTTTTTATGTTTATATGTTCATAGTTTTTAAAAATAAATAGTACCAAAATAATAATTTAGAATTGTTTTGTCACTTTCCTATCATTAATTTTTTTTTTGGTGTTTTTTTGTTGTGTGTTGATTAATCTGTTGTTGTTTGTCGTATAAAAAATTCTATTATATATGTATATAATGAATAAGAGATAATTAATTTAGTTCTAGAATGGCTGTTAAGTAGTTGAATGTTTGAAGATCATTTTATTTCTGTTACAGCCTTGATATTAAATTTATCTCATTGTGACATTAAAACAATTATTCCTTGCTACTACAGTGGTAATGGACATTGTTTGTATAATGTGCACAACTGTTTCAATTTGATAAATACTAACATTATATTTTTAAAAGAAGCCTTAATTATAAAGATTAAATAAGTTTTATGTTATGGTCTTTTTAATTGCATGAAAGTAATTAAGAAGTTAGTTCTTGTCAGAATATTTTATCATATTTATTGTAGATGCCACTGAACTTGAAAGTGTATTGAACCCATTTCTTTAATATTGTAATAATTTATGTATATATGTTATTTATGTAATAGGCATGACACTAGAAGTAAAACTGCTTTCAAAGGGATTTTTAAATGAATATTGCAGTATATTTAATTTTAATGTATATTTAAGATTTTTCTGATTTAGGAAAAGCTAAATATTATCTATTTTCTTAATGTCCAGTTTTTTAAGTAATTTGTTAAAGAAGAAGAAAATAAGCCCTAGCTTCTTATGACACCCACAGCATGAAGTGAGGCGATGAATTGAAGTTTAGATAGTAAGGTTTACAGTCTTTATATGTCACGCTGCTGGGCACAGGCCCTTGACATTGCGGAGAAAATGGGAAAAAAAACCATGCCCTTTTTTTTTTTGGGGGGGGGTTGATTTTGGGTGGCTTCTCATACTGTTTTAAATTTATCATCAAGTTTATAAATGACAAACTTGTCTTTAATTTTCTCAAATGTATTGTAATATTTTTTGCAGGAAATGATTCATCTGTCAGTATGGTCACACATAAGGCGCTTGGTGGTTTCTGCAATGATATTTGGTACTGCTGTTTTGTTTATGCTGTGGCTACCAATACGCGTGATTAAGTATGTGCTTCCTGGATTCCTTCCGTACGCTGTAGCAGTTCATACTGAAGCCCCTGTGAATGAGCTAAGCCTGGAGTTGCTACTGTTACAAGTAAATCTTTGTAAATCATTTACATAAACAACTTTTAGGATTTAAATTCATAATATATTAAAGGTATAATAAGTGTTCATGTAACAAAGATCTATTTAATTTAGAAGGCGACATTGATCTTCATCATGTTTTGTGTAAATTTTACATTTACTTTACCATGACCTCTTCTATCATAATAGAATCTTCACAAGCCCTAAATATTGTTGGACATGGTCCTTTTTTCAAAGGAGGATGTTTTGCAGGTTTTAAAGGTGTATTCGGTGGTCTTGTCGAACGATTTGTAGCTACTGAAGGGTATGTTGGATATTCTACAAGAGTACATTTAGCAACCTACTGCTATTATACTTCTGTGGCCAGTGCGGCCATGCTATGTGGTGTTAGTAACCAGATGAGAATCTCGTAAAACCAGAATCTTTATAACTTTGATAAATCTGTCTGCTTTATTATATTCTTCTTCTTATTTTTATTTATCTCCATTCTTATTTTTCATGTGCCCGTAAAAGTCATGGCCCATTTCATTTCTGCCCCTTTTGTTGTAGGGAGAATTTGCCAATGGAAATCTTACATTGTTAGTCTGTTTCATAATTTAATTTTTTTAACTATTAATTTATTTGAAGTATTTGTTTAGTATTATATAAATTCATTGCAGTATAAATTCCTGGCAGGTAATTCTTCCAGCGTTGTTAGAGCAATCGCACACGCGCACGTGGCTAAAAGCGGGTCTGCGTGCGTGGTGCGCGTGTGCGGCGGGCGCGTTAGGTCTGCGCTCGTACTTGTTGGGAGAAGCTTCCAGAGACAGCGAGCCACACCCACCCCCTAACCCACCACACCAACTCGGTGCCGCTCATCAGGTTGGTTTAAATGTTTATTTGTTTTTTGTAGATTTCAAATATGTAGTTTTATATACAGGATGTTAGTGTAAACACCGTTATCCTTGAAAGCAGTGGTTTGGTTTCACTTATAGAACGTAAATTCAATGAATTAAAAAAGAAACGCTATTTTCTTTCATAAAATTTAAAAAGTTTCTGTCCGACATCGTCCGTAAATTCATGGATACCCTATGCGCCTGAGTGACGTAATCACTGTAAAGATCACCGTCCGCGCTAGCTGTGTAGGTACACAACATTCAACATAAAAATACAATAGGTACACATAACCTGTGAAGTACTTTTCCTTCATACTTTCATCTTGGCTGGATTTTACTAAAAAAAATGTTATTTTTCATTGAATTTACGTTCTATAAGTGAAACCAAACAACTTTTCAAGGACAACGGTGCTTACACTAACACCCTGTATAACATATTTTTCTATAATATTAGATCTTTTATACCTTTCACGCTGGTGCCTGTAACTGGTTTGAGAAATCTTCTTTGCATTTTCTCTAAGATGATAAAGTGCTAAAGATTTTTTTTTTTGTAGAACTGGAGTGACAAACAAGTACACACTCCACCTGATGGTAAATGGATGCTGCCATTCATAGACACCTAAGTTTAGATAGCATTGCTTAAGATTCAAAATGCAAATGTGTTGTCACCCCTGAAGATTAAAATAGCATGCCTGCGGCATTTTTGTTTCGACGTTTTCTAATAAATATACTGACTTTTCGGGGAACAGGACAAGATGCGAAATGTCTAGATGTGTCGCTAAACCGACAGCTAAGCATGGCGATTAAAAACGTCCTTAGAACGGGCGAGATCTCACGAGAAGCCCTACAGTAGAGCTGAACAGGCTAATGGAAAAGATAGCAGGGGTCGGTTGCATCGTCTGTTAATTAGTAGAATGTACCTGTGCACATGCAGCTGACAGTGGCATAATATGGAGAAGATATCACCTTAAAAATCGCGACTCTCTTTTTATTTGCGCAAGTAATTTTTTCAACAATCTCTCATTAGATAATAGCAACTTGGAATTATTTTAGATTGAATCTGCAAATATCAACAAGCTGTTTGTTTCAGTTTAACGGTCCCTCTATGCGTGCCACATTTATAGATCTTTTCCCCTTTAATGCATTTTTAATTTTTCGATTTTGTTTTGAGGTAAAGCTTGCGCGGTCTATAAACATTTTAATTTTCATATGCGAATAGCTCTTCATATCTACGTACATTCAAAAAAGACGTGTGGCACTCGGGGACTGCCGCGGTAAAGCTATTGCATAGCATTTTGTATCAACTTACGCAATTATAATTATTTATTTATTTTATTTATGCAGTATTTCTTTTTCTTTGATATTAATTCGTTACACTTTTTGAGCGTGGTGACCGATAAGAAAACAAATTTTTTTCTTTTATTAAATAAATAAATAATAAATGCACTTTGTTCATTCATATTCAAAACACTTTATACACAAATTTTACAAGTACAGCTATTCACTGTTGTACATAAATACCTATACACCTATATACTTTCTCATAAACAGCTGCTTATGTATTCGTCCGATTTCGGAGCAGCTCGTCTCGATTCGTGCGAGCTTCGTAGAGTCGTACAATACGTCTAGTTGCACGCACACAAACACCGTGTCGAAGACTGCCGAAAAGAAACGACGTTAGACAATGCACGGCTATCCACTGCCCCATATCGTCCCGTGGGTGTCGTAAGAGGTGACAGAGGGAAATTTAAACAGGTGATGGGCGGCAGCATCTTCCTGACAACTCAAAATAATAAAAAAATGCGCTTAACAACCCTCTCGCTAAGCATATCAACTATAACAAAATCTACTTTTCGAAGTAATCTAGGGGGGAGTCCTGTTGTTCAGCAGTGGACTTTTATAGGCTGATGATTTGTAAACGGTTTAATTACAATTGATTATTAATATTTATTCTAGGCGTTGGTGTGGCGCGACGGGCCGGCCGGTTTCGAGCCGTATGTCCGCGTCTCGTGGTTCCCGTTGCGACTCGCGGCGTTACTCGTACTTGTGGCCATCTCACTGGTCATGGCTAGTGCGCTTACTTTGGTCAGTAGTCTATACTTAGATATTTATTTTATTTTATTATAGAGGTTTGTTTTGATGAAAGAATTTCCATCTATGCTGTTCAGCATTTTGATTGTCGGGATCTTAAAATAATTTAAAAATAAACTCCATAAAATCTGTATTTGTATATTGGATGATTTTTTCAAATGTTTCACATTTATCATTCCGCAATAACTTTGCACAAGCATACTCACACGATTTAAAATAACCTTTTACGTAAATCCGAAGAATTTGAAGTTATCTATATTTCATTACAACGTGTATAGTTTTTTTTTTATCATTAATTTAAATTCTAATCTTTCAAACAAAGCAAAATATTAAAAAAATAACCAGTATCAACTTTTTTACTTGACGTCGTTTCAATGATATGTTGCTATGTAACTTACCGTAGTGTTTGGATGATTAAAATTCATTGTTATGCGAATAATCGGCAAAAATATTCAAATAATCGGTAAAAATATTCAAATAATCGAATCTTAATTTTTTAAATGTGTTATTTGTTTAGTTATTTTTTTATTTTAAAAATTCTTAAAATTACATGAATCATGAATAACACAAGGTAATTTCTTCTATATTCGTTGAAGTATGTACACATGTCACAAAGGATGATTGGGCAAAAGTGATAAAAAAAAACACGAAAATATTGATTATGGATGACTTTGAAATAACAAAAGACATTAATTTTGACTGCATTATTTAAAATCAAATAATAATTAATCTAAACGACAGCTCAACTAGTTGTACTTAATTTTCAATCTTAAATTTTTATACCCATGCCTCTAGAAATAAGGAGACAAACAAATACGAAGAAACTAGTAAATCTTGGGTTTTAAATGATCGGTTTTTCATTTATTCTGGTATTATTAAAACCAAACTGTAAATGATTACCAACTCTAAATAATCGATATTGATTGTTTTAAGAATCGAATATTATATGTTCCCAATTTTTGATTGGCATGCATGGTGCAATAAGTCTGACAGCTGTTAAAATGTATTTCTTAGATTTGGTTGACTATAAATAAATTGTAGCCTCACCAAATATAAAAGTGAAATAATTAAGGGACATATTTTATTCATTCAACTGCTAAAGATGTTAAAAATCTATTTGCTTAAATCCGCCTAATAAAATAAAATGATTTTTCCTCCCTAGTTAAAACAGCAACTCCCGCCTTCCCTCAATTGCGTGCACTATAATAAAACCTAACATGTTTGATACCTATTTTATCTTATTTATGAATTAATAAGAGAATAAAAGCAACCTAAAAACTGGCACCTAAGTTTCCTTTGTTTTATTCGTTAGGTAATACCAGTGGCTATTGGCAGAAAAGTGATGGCACTGTGGCTACCAAAAGCTTCAGAGGGCGTGCACGAGTTGTATACAGCTGCCTGTGGTAAGTTTTACATATTATTGTAATAAATGATAAATCTGACAATAATTTAATAATAATGTCCTCCAGACCGAATTTCGGTCACGGCGGCCTGCATCAACGGAGGCTAGCCATCGGCGCAGGACAGGATTATAGTGCCCAAGTTTGCACAGGTGCACTCTCTATTCCCTCACTCTCGTAATCCGATGGGACGGTAAACCGACACGACCGGGAGAGAGATCAGGCGCAGGACCAACGGCTTTACGTGCTTTCCGAGTCACGGGGGTGATACACCGTCAACTTCCTAACTCCGGGCAGCTACTGAGAATTTCTTGACGGAAAAACTCAATAATTGATTTTTTGGCCCGACCCGGGATTCGAACTCAGGACCTCATGATCAGCAGTCTTACTACTACAACCACTAGACCAACGAGGCAGTCAAAAAAATTCTGACAATACATAGTGTATATTAAATTGATATGAGTTGTTGTTAGATGAGTATTATAGTACGCCATTTACTTTTTTATCAAATTTACAGATGGCAAGGAAGTCTGACTTTACTCTAGTATCACTCATTTGGTGTCCGTTGCATTCTTAAATGATGATTAATCTCTGATTAAATGGCTATTCTCGTTATAGTGAGAAAACCTGCATATGTGAGAAATGAGAGAACATGTTATGAAATCCGCGAATACGTAAGCGGAACAGCGCGGTGGACTAACTTACTGCTTCATTTTCTAGCGACTATAGCGATTTTCTACTAAGGTTTTGCGCTAAATATTTTGCTGATATGAACCTTGTAAGTGTCATATTGTGAGCCGTAACGCGTTGTCTTTAGTTTGGTTCTGGTTATAACCATGTATTAAGTGTAATTTTCTAAGAGTAGAGTAAAACACCTCGCGTGTACGTGTCGTCGTCCTGTACAATAGAAAATCCTAGTGTCGGGGGGGGGGGGACGGACGTAAATTAAAAAAAAAGAATATTAGTTCAAAGTTTCCTTTGCCTGCTATTAAATCGCAGGGCCATTGATTTATTGAAGTCGAAAAAACTGGCATACCCAGCTCAGACGCCGACAGCCGCCTAGTTCTGTTGCTACTAGCACAGCATCACCTGAAACTTTTATGTAACCGTTTGGCTCTTTTGATATAGATTGACATAAAGCTTAAACTATTAATGCCATAATACGCCTCTCTTCTTCATGTTGCGTATGGCAGTAACAATGTCATCATGTAGGCGATGGCATCTACAATTGACTGTCCGATAGACTGCATATTTGTGGCTTGTGGAAATATATGTCATATTTTATAATTTGGAACGCGTTTCCGGGATCATAGTTAATCTGAGACTGAGTTTGTTTTCTATCCCACATGCGAAACATAAAATATAAAATATTCTGTAGTGTCGTGAAGCCCCCACGACAATATATATTAGCGTTTAGTTTGAAATAAGAGTACACTAATTAAAGTCATAGACATATCAACGTGTCTCCTTCCCGTTGATACTTAGCCAACATCTATCAATCTAAGTATTTCAGATTAAGTATAGCCTATATCTCTCCTGCCATTGCCTCTATCTGTCCATAAAATTCATCGCAATCGGATTAGCCCGGACATAGAGACAGGTGGACAAAAAATGCTTAATTATGTGTTAATGACATGCAAATTACCCCTTGATCTTAGTAAAAGCCAGTTATTTCATTACATTTCTGACCGACACCTAAATTTTATTTATATTTTTACGACAGTCGGTTGCGTATTGCGTCACGTTGTACGAGAATGTTCCCGATGATAAGGTACAATGTCCTCTGTTAAGTAATAAAATAAAAATAGATAAAGCTAAGACTATTAACGCAAGCAAGAAGTAACCTTATGGCCACGTATGTACATAAAGCCTTTTCTCCTTTGGATATTGTTATCGTCAGTGTGCTGGTACTTTCCGGTTGAAAGAGCGAAATGACCTGGTGTGGCCTAGAAAGTTCCATATTCATTTTATCGAGTATAAAACCGTGTGTCAGCGATCTAAGAGCTACATCGAGAACGTAAAATTGACCTCTACTCCGCGAAGCGACTACGAGAATTCACGTCACCGAAGAAGTAATCTGAAGGTCGTATAGGTTTACTCACCAACTTTGGCACATCCCGATGAGGAGGTGGAGAAAATGTATGAGGATATCTCTAGAACCATGCATTTCTCCAAAACCCACTATACGGTGTTCAAAGGATACTTCAACTAATATTCAACAACTTATATCATGTAAAGAACGTAAAGATATTGTGAGCCTCTCTGTTGAGCGAACTGTGGAAATGGCATGTGTTGAGATTGAGCACCTCATTGTTGTCAGCGTTTACAGACCCCCAGGTATGATACCTTTGAAAAAATTTTGGAAGAAGTTTTAGTTAATAAACAAAATAAATTTCTTGTAGTATGCGTAGACTTTAATATCAAACTCCTGGAATCTCCTTCAAAATTTTGAAATCATTCAATCTTAATAAATTTACTATTATTTGAAGCTACATGTATTACAACTTGTATTGATAATATTTTTACAAATGTTTGTATTAATCAAGAAATTCATAATTCAAAACTAAGGTCAGATAATTGCCTTATATGCACAAAAAACAGGAGATTGAGAAAAATTGTGTTTATTCCTATTAATGCAAAACGCCTGGAGAGATTTAGAAGTAATATGGTAAATAAAAATATGAAAAAAACCTTCCGTCGCCTTCTTACAAGCACAATTCAGATATTTATGTTATTATTTACCCTTATAAGCAATGAATTTAACAAAACATTTACCTTCTAAAACATTCTCCAGTAACAGTCGCAAGGCGTTTAAGAGGAGTATTATAAAAAATATATAAAAAACGCGAAATTACAAGGTTTCCTCGTTGAAATTATATGTTATCTGTTCGTTGCTTGAAATAACAATTACTTGGTAAAAATAGTTCGTTTCTCTACTAGAGTAAGCTCAAGGCAAATTTTATTATTTATTTATTCATTTAGCAATAATCATTCTCCCGATGCATTCTCTTGATGCATGTTTAGACCAAAACTCTGAGAGACATGATTTGGGAGCTCTAATTTGTAGATTCGATATATACTAGCTTGCCAGGCAGACGTTGTTCTGCCCTTTTCAACGATCATTTGTCATGTCCTATTAAAAATCCTTAAATTAGCAAAAAATTGTGGGTTACTCATAGGAAAAAAACTAACCTATCTCTCAACTTAGACGAAACTGCACACGGTGTGCAAATTTGATTAAAATCGGTTAAGTAGTTTAGGAGTCCATCGCAGACAAACAACGTGACAAGTAATTTATGTATATTAAGATATATATATATATATATATATATATATATATATATATATACGACATAAAAGAAAATTTTTTAAATATTCTATACTTTAATAATGATAAAATATGTTTTCGTTATATGCCCTTCACGTAAGGAAAAAAAGTCGACATAATTCAATTATCTACCGAAAAAGCTTCGATACAAGCCCCAATATCTCCAAAGTTCTACATCATTTTGACGTAAAATAATCATCCACATTTACTTAAACTATACTATGATTTAAATAGTTACTATTATTTTTTAATTAATTAAATAAAAGTACCATATATATCACTGTGTCGGCCATCTGAATTCACTACCGCGCCAGCGGCTTTCGAGGCTAACCTGCGTCATTTTATTTCGCGCGTCAGTCTCGTTTCGATATTATCGTAGTGTGCATCGATGGCCGTGGCGTTGCTATTTTGTGCTAGAGCATCGTCAACTACGCCCGCAATTTTTAATCATTGGAAGTATTTACTTTCATACATTATAAAGTTCGCACATTATCATAATACCAGATGTTGACTTGTAACTCATTGTAGTTATTTTGATTGTAACTGAACTTTCTTATCAGTCGGAATGGGGAAAAATAAATACAAGTATCAATGTGTCATTTGACGTAAGGAAATAAATATCCTATCCTGGAAAAAAAATGGAGAATAAAAATGTTTGCATGCTTGCCATATGGACAGGCCCAGATTATGCAGTAAAAGTACTAAAAATCTACAAAGACGACAAACTTTGGATTTTGAATATGTTACCCAAGTTACAAGCGTTTTATAAAAAAGTATGTACAGCCTGAAATTATTGACTCGAGATAAGGCAAATATTTTTATAAAAAAATATGGTAATTGACTATGAGTACCGATTAAAAAAATATTAGTTCCAGTTGGTTATTTTATTTATTAAAACAGGTTGCAACCGTACTATTTATTTATTTATACCACTATGCTACCGTTAATAAATATAATCGATTATTAACCAACATCTGTTAACAATCGATTATTGTAAAACAATTGAAATATTTGTGTGTACTTATTTCAACACTATGGTTCATAAATAACGAAAAATATATCAAATATATTATATATAAATTAATTAGATAACATAAAATTGACACACCAAAAATTTTCCAACCACCGAACTCCATCATAAGAAAACTTGTATAATGGAAGATCAAGATCGTTTAGTCGCTATACTCACAGTGCGAGCGACTGAATAGAGATATGAAATAAAATATCGCTCGCGTAGGTCATCGCCCTCTCGAAGCGTAAAATACCTAAATTTGCGTAACGCCGAAATGTAAGAGGCCTCTTAATGAGTGAGCGACGGTAGGAATTCATAAGAACAGACGACGATTATATGAATCATGAAAGATCGTTCAAATACTTTTAGAGAATATGTCAACAATTATTCTAAAATGTTTAAAAGAGTGTGCTCCACAGCCAAATCTATACATATTATATATTTGCAATGCCTGGGAGAATTCACAAGATGCCTTAGGTATTTTTTGTTATATTTCCAAGGCTTTCGATTGTGTTCATCATGATTTATTAATCAGGAAATTACAATATTACGGTGTCAAATATGCGCTTAGACTTATTATTTCATATTTAAATATATCTAAATTAGCAGGTAGACTTAGTTCTGAAGCATATACCGTAAGAAAGATTGGAAGTCTCACCAATGTTGAGACAGCTAAATTAGTTTATTTTAGTTACTTTCATAGCGTAATGTCTTATGGATTCTTGCTGACATTAAAGTCATATTTGTACTGCAAAAGAGAGCTTACAAAATGGTTTTCAGTGCTTAGAAGACTGCAATACAGTGGACGATATGAATGACAAGCTTGAGGAAACTGTCCATGCGGTCGGAGCTAATTTCTGTAAGACTTGTCTCAAAAAAATCCAAAATCTCCCCGATCACACTCTTAATATATATTACACTCGTAATATGGCTGTTAGAGGGGAAATGAAGCTACAGTCTTCAGCAAATATGACAGCAAACAGGCAACTGACCAGACAGATCTTCAACCAATTACGTGCGGTGGGACTTACGCAACTTCAATATAGCCCTTATGCAAGAAGCGATCAAGCGCCAAATATAAAAAATAAGGCTCCAAAATCTTTGCCAAAGATCTGTCCGCCAGAAAGAGCCAACTATTGAAACTGAAGACCGAATGTGGTAGCATCGTTGCCAGGACATCTGAGATTTTGAATGAGATTGAAAGGTAGTAAGGGTGTGTACATGTATGATTGGAAGGTAGTAAGAAGAGTTATGATTGATGATGTCCTGGACGTTAGACTGAGCGAGATTAGAATGGCTCTCCAGCACCTTAAAAATGACAAGGCCCCGGTCGAGTATAGAATTACAGCGGAGCTTTTAAATGCGAGTGAAAAATCAGTACTTGAAGTCCTTAATTCCGTCCTCCATAGTGGCACTACTCCGGAGGCGTGAAGCAGAAGTGCGGTGGTCTTTTACTTCAAGAAATGCTACAACGGTCTCTTGAAGAACTAGACCGATTTTCCTTCTTAGCCATGTCTACGTGTAGTTTTTGACAGTCATTACAAATCGTCTCGCACGCAGATTCGATAACTACCAGCCTGCCGAACAAACCGGTTTCCGAAAAGGCTTTAGTATCATGGATCACATACATACCCTTGCGTATGTTGGCTATGACAAAACCTTTGATTCCGTTGAAGTATGGGCGGTTCTACAGTCCGTTCAGCGGTGCCAACTTGACTGGCGGTATAACAAAGTGCTGAAGTGTTTGTTCAGTAGTGCTATGATGGCTATCCGAGTACAAAACCAGAGTAAGAAACCTATCCAACTGCAGAGAGGTGGAAGACAGGGTGACGTTATATCCCCAAAACTCTTCACTGCTTCATTGGAAGACGTTTTCAAGCCAATGGACTGGAAAGGATAAGATATTAACATCAATTGCTGGTATATTACTCACCTTCGATTTGCGGACAATATAGTTTTTATGGCAGAATCGCTGTACGACCTAATGCTATGCTTAACCACCTTAATAGTGTCCTCCAACGGATAAGTCTTAAGATGAACATGAACAAAACAAGGGTCATGTGTAACATTTAATGTCAAACCTATGCCCGTAGTTGTTGGGAGCACTAAGCTCGAAGTTGTGATGATTTTGTTTACCTGGGACTAATAGTCTGATTAGGTAAGTCCAACTACGACCGAGAGGTTAGTCGACGGCTGGGCAGAGTTCGGGAGATTATGACACATCTTCTCGTCAGACGTACCTTAAAACTCCTAAACTTGTAAAACCAGTGCGTGTTGCCAGTGATGACTTATAGATCTGACACGTGGTCCTTAACTGCTGGCCATATGAGGAAGTTTAAGGTCGCTCAGCGAGCTATGAGGAGGGCTGTGTGCTGTGTGTGTGCTCGGGGTTTCTCTGCGTGATAGACTTAAAAATGAGGATGTCTGCATAAGGACCAGAGTAAACGAATTAGCCCAACGTATTTGTAAGCTAAAGTGTCCATTGACCGGCCATATAGCTCGAATAACCGACCGGGATGAAACCGACCGATGGCGAAGAAAGATTCTCTAGTGGCAGCCTCCTACTGGTGCGAAGTGTAAGGCCGTCCCCCACTGGATGAAGTGACGACCTTGTAAGACACGCAGGAAGTCGATGGATGCAAGTAGCTCAGGACCACGCTTTTGTGGCATTAATTGGAGGAGGCTTATGTTCAGTAGTTGAGTAAAAAGGTTAATGTATATAGTTGCATTCTATTAAATGTATCCTGCCGTTGTACTTAGTTAACCGGTTATGTATGTCAATGGAGTTTTACTTCGAGTATATAAACGAGTTGTGTTTACGTGAGTATGTGTCATTTCTAACAGTAGTGGACTTCTGAAGGGCTTTAATGGTGATGAAATGATCATTTTTTATGGTATAAGCGTGACAAACGAGCCCACAGTCCACTTGATGGTAAGTGGATGCTGTGGCCCATAGACATTTATATTTATCCTCGATTAAGAATCAAAATGCAGATGTGTTGTCATCCTTGAGGACTAGGATGGAATGCCTCGTTTCCAGTAGAAAGGTTCTCCAGTTCTCTAAACTCACCATACGAAAAGCAGTAGCATTAATTTGCTATTTTACCCTGGTATGGTGTTCTGTAAGAGCGTGGTCCTACCCCGGTCGGGCCCATCCATTGATGCTAGAACCATAATATAGTTGTAGCATGGCTCTACCACGTATAAATGTTATGTTTGTATACAGGCATGTACGTGAGCTGGGCGGCGGGACGTGGCGGAGCATTGGCGGCGGGCTGGGCGCGCGGTGGCCGGGCGGCGCTGCTGGACCGCGCGGCACTGTGGGCGCACCGCGCAGCGCGCGCGACGTTTGCTGCACTCGCATTGCTGGGCCTCGTGCCGCTCATGTTCGGACTGCTGCTGGAGCTGGTGCGTGCTTTGTACCTTGCGCTCTGCTCGTGGTGTAGCGCTGTGTGTAGCTCTCTTTGTAGCGCTGTGTGTAGCGCTATGTATAGCGCTGTGTGTAGCTCTATATGTAGCGCTGTGTGTAGCTCTATATGTAGCACTATGTATAGCTCTGTGTGTAGCGCTGCGCTGCGATTTCGAATATACGATTCACATTTTAAAACGTTAAGTAACCTTAATTAAGACGTTAAGTAAACGTTAAGTAACTAGATATTGATCTGCTGGTTAGCGGTGACGCTCACCGCTCCATTTTCTCACAGCAGTGTCGTAAGTCTGCTATAAAAAAATTATAGAGGCCTATCACCACTAGTAGAATGTTTTCAGGCGTTTGTGTGGATCGCAATAAGTACATCGCACAGAGTAATTACCTATGTGGCCGTGAAGGAAAAGGGATTTCTCCCGCTGGGCAAGGTGTTCTGCTCGGGGAGCGGCCAACGCTCCGTGTGATAGTTCGGAGCTGTTCTATATGTACTGTTTATGATTCGAAACTTTGATAGCGCGATTTAGGCTTCGGTGTGCTTCGCTTGTGGCGCGACAACAGCGCCGCCACATCACGCCCCTGCTCAGACCGGAGGTCGACAGTGCAGTCCGATTGCCGGTGCGTCCTCAAGGTGGCACTGGTCGATGGCATGAACTAAGTGGTGGGCGGGGTTAAAATGCATGCTATCTCAGCCGACATCACGTGCGAAAGGGATAGACGCTGTGATGAGCAGTAAGAAGCTAGTGCGCACACACATACGCACTCCTGAGTGACGCAAAGCGACGGCGTCATCGCGTACCTACATATTGCGATTCTTTTTTGAATGACAACATAAACTCAAACGGCAATTGAGAGCTCCGTGGAGCAGTGGCTTAGCAATGAGTGGATGCGCTGGGGGCCGCGGTTTCGAATCCCGCACGGAACAAATATCTCGAGCTCTTCAGTACCACTGCCTTTCCGTTTGGTCTCCGACATACACACGACATCTAATTCTCTTTCTTTCATTATTTCGATCAACTCATTCATCTTATCTCTCATGCCCCCTCTAACATTCCACGTGCCAACTCTGCACTCCGTCCTCCACCTTCCGCCGTGTCGTTGTTCGCCGCTTTACGACTTTCGAAGTGTTTTAACACAAAAACAGTGTGTTGACCGGATGATTTCTACATTTGGTGATGAAGCCCCATTCAAAACCACAATTTATCGCTGGTTTGCTGAATTTCAACGTGGACGTGTCAAGCTCAGTGATGATCCCCGTCAAGGTCGTCTAAAAACTGCAGTCACCCAAGAAAACGTTGATGCTGTGCGTAAGCTGATTGAGGAAGATCGACATGTGACATACCGCGAAATTCAGGCAACTTTAGACATTGGCATGAGTCAGATGCAAATAATTAGGTGTAAAAAAGTTGTTTTCCCGATGGATACCGCATTCGCTCTGTGAAGAGCAAAAAGCGGCTCGCGTTACTTGGTGCGTCAGAACTCTCGAAAGATTCCACGCAGGATCCTCAAATGCTGTATACAACATCGTATCAGGGGACGAATCCTGGATATACGCGTACGAACCCGAAACAAAAAACCAGTCACGAGTTTGGGTGTTCGAAAATGAGTTAAAGCCAACAAAAATTGTTCGTTCACGGAGTGTTGCAAAAAAAATGGTGGCCACGTTTGTCTCCAAAACCGGCCATGTTACGACTATTCCTCTTGAGGGACAAAGAACGGTTAATGCAGAATGGGATGCTAGCATTTGTTTGCCACAGGTCGTTTCTGAACTCCGTAAAGAGAACTGCAACCGCCGCATCATCCTCCATCACGACAATGCGAGTTCTCACACCGCACACAGAACAAAAGAGTTTTTAGAGCAAGAAAACATAGAATTATTAGACCATCCGCCGTACAGCCCCGACCTAAGCCCTAATGATTTCTATACTTTCCCTAAAATAAAGAATAAATTGCGTGGACAGAGATTTTCATCACCTGATGAAGCTGTGGATGCCTACAAAACGGCCATTTTGGAGACCCCAACTTCCGAATGGAATGGTTGCTTCAATGATTGGTTCCATCGTATGGAAAAATGTGTCAAATTTCGTTTGCTTTAATGTTGTGTCACTTCCTTGATTCCCGAAATTTTCAGTGCCGCCCTCGTACAAGATTTAATATACATATTACTATCGATCAAAAAAAGCTAAAAATACACGATTCTTTTTCTAGTAGGAAACCCTTTAATTTCAAATTTATTTTTACTATTTGCTGTTATAGCGGCAACAGAAATACACGTTCTGTGGAAATTACAACCATCTCTACCTGTTACGGATCATGAGATACAGCCCGCTGACAGACAGACACACGGACAGCGGAGGCTTCGTAATAGGGCCCTGCTGGTTACCCATCGGGTACGGAATCCTAAAAAGGTACTTAGTTTTCCACTCACATCTGTAGGTTCTTTCTTCAAAGGACCATACAAAGCCATTTAGCCACCTGCCTGGTTTTCGTATGACATGACCAATGTAATACCTGGACTGACCTCTCTGAGTTTGTTTCGGCAGATCGGGTGCTTCTTCTCAGTTTCATGTTTTTATTGTGTTAAACTGTTTAAAAAAAACAACTTACAAAACAAATTTTATTTATCATTGACTGCCCTTCTTAGATTCTTATGTACTTACATAAATTACAATAGGTATATTAGGATATGAGATTCCTACACGTAAGTAATTATCGAAAATCTAAAAATTACTTATTCTAATTAAATTAATAGATAATTTTAAGATTTTCGATAATCGTGCTTATCAATGAGATGTTTTCGTTAGTTAGCAAATTAAAGTACTTAAGTACCTAATTTACTACCTGTATCGAAAGTTCATTATTATGTACCTACCTGTTTTAAATTTTAACTAAATGTGCTTCAACAAACTTATGGGCACATTTTAGCAGCTATATTCATCCGGCTTCAGCAATGGACACGAACAAAAGGAAGCAACTTTCTAAATAAGATGTAGATATGTAGGTATTACAACCATAAATATAGCATAGCAGCGGCTAACCTAGTGAGCATGTGTGGATGCGCGCTCCCCCCTCCCCCTCCGTCCGTCCCACTGATCGGTGAAGCAATTTGTATCGAAAGGCAAGATGATTTACAACAAAAAGGAGCGCGCGAAATTTTATAAACAGACCTTTGGGAGTCTGGATGTCATGAAAAATCTATTGAATGTATCTGTTGAAAATAAAATTATTTGCATTTTTGAACAACTAATCTATCCCTGTATGGTAAACTGATTTGCAATTTTCGTTCTTCTTATGGTATTTATTTCCGCCCAAAGATGTGTTAAAACTAGTGTTGAAATTTGGAATTTTCGACGCTTATAACTTTTAAACATATTCTTTTTTTACTTTTTTGTTTCCATACAGGGCTAGATAATGATGAGACAAATTGAAATCATTTTTTATTTTGAACGTACACCATCAAACAGTGGAGTAATCTCCAGACTACGTTTGTATGGAAGAATGAGTGACTAGTGTACCTTTAATGGGGAATGCATACTGTGTGCGTAAAGGGCAAGTGACACCGGTGCGAATGATATGCCGATGTGTAATGCATGCCGTACTACGCACTGGCAAGTGATACCGGTGGGGACGATGTGCCGGAGCAAGTGCCAGAAGCCTGCCTTATAAATCTGCGGTGAGTCGAGATGAAGGCAAGTTGGTGTAGTTTGCAAGAACTGAAGACTGCAGAAGACGATTCTCAGTAGTGAATGGTAGGGGTTCTTGAGGATAATGACGAAGGCTTGAAGTTGTTGTTTCCGAAGGTTGTTGGTTACGTGTTCAGATTACGGGCAAGGTGTTCTGCCCGGAGGGTGGCTAACGCTCCATGTGATAGTTCGGAGCTGTTCTATATATACTGTTTATGATTCGGAACTTTGATAGCGCGATTTAGGCTTCGGTGTGTTTCGCTTGTGGCGCGACGACAGCGCCGCCACATCACCCCCCTGCTCAGACCGGAGGTCGATAGTGCAGTCCGATTGCCGGTGTGTCCTTTTAATGCCGGTGGGGAATGCATGCTGTGTGCGTAAGGGCAAGTGACACCGGTGCGAATGATATGCCGATGTGTAATGCATGCCGTACTACGCACTGGCAAGTGATACCGGTGGGGACGATGTGCCGGAGCAAGTGCCAGAAGCCTGCCTTATAAATCTGCGGTGAGTCGAGATGAAGGCAAGTTGGTGTAGTTTGCAAGAACTGAAGACTGCAGAAGACGATTCTCAGTAGTGAATGGTAGGGGTTCTTGAGGATAATGACGAAGGCTTGAAGTTGTTGTTTCCGAAGGTTGTTGGTTACGTGTTCAGATCACGTCGGGGTCACCACTGTGGCCGTAGAAAGGAAAGGGGGGGATCCCCCGCCGGGCTAAGTGTTCTGCCCGGGGAGCGGCCAACGCTCCATGTGATTGTTCGGAGCTGTTCTACATGTGCAGTTTATGATTCAGAACTTTGATAGCGCTATTCAGGCTTCGGTGTGTTTCGCTTGTGGCGGGACGACAGCGCCGCCACACCTACATTAACTATACAATAATTAACTAAGTGGTAAGTGAGTAACTGAGCCGTGGTAGCTCAGTGGTTAACGCTCGCTGTAAATATAACAGAACGCGAGTAACCCGGGTTCGATCCCCGCCGGCACCAATGAAATTGTTAATTGCGATTTTAAGTGCTGATTTACCACGTGCTCGGCGGTGAAGGAAAACATCGTGAGGAAACCTGCATGTCTGAGGAATAAGAACAAAAAAAATATTTTCGAAGACGTGAAGTTCCTCAACACGCATTTGGGCAGCGCGGCGGACACTTCCTTGCCCTAAAACCCTTTCAGAAATGAGGGGAGGCCTGAGCCCAGCTGTGGGACGTATATAGGCTGTAACTTTACTTTCTTTTAATTAACTAAGTATATTTATACTTTGACAGGTATTAGTGATACCCCTGCGAGTTCCGCTGGAACAATCGCCGGTGTTGTTCGTCTGGCAAGACTGGGCGTTAGGTGTCTTGTACACAAAGATTGTCTGTGCGCTCACCATGATGGGGCCCGACTGGAGTATGAGACGAGCCATCGAAAAAGCGTATCGAGACGGAATTAGGGAAATGGATTTGAAGTAAGTGTTCAAGTGTCTTTTTTATAAATGTCTGTGACCGTCAGGATTGAAAACGTTCCAAAATACGGTTTAGTAATAGATATTTAAGTTGTTCCGATACTAGAATACTTTTATAATTAACATTAATATTATGAGTGGTGTGTGCTAGACTAATGCAGAAAACGTTTGTCAGGTTCATCCTGACGGAGGTGGCGGCGCCGCTGGTGCGCTGGCTGGGGCTGGCGCTGGCCGTGCCGTACGCGCTCGCGCACAGCGCCGCGCCGCTGCTCGTGAGCTCGCCCGCGCAGCGCAACCTGCTCGCGCGTCGCGTCTACCCCGCGCTGCTGCTGCTCGCCGCGCTCGCCGCCCTCGCCGTGTTCCAGGTGCCGTAGCTCTAGTGCGCTCTACACTGTGTCCCACGCGACACGTACGCACTCGCGCACAGCGCCGGGTCGCGGCTCGTGAGCGCGCCCGCGCAGTGCAAACTACTTGCGCGCCGCGTCTACCCCGCGCTGCTGCTCGCCGTGTTCCAGGTGCCGTAGCTCTAGTGCGCTCTACACTGTGTCCCACGCGACCCGCGACACGTACACGCTCGCGCACAGCGCTTGGCCGCTGCTCGTGAGCGCGCCCGCGCAGTGCAACCTACCCCGCACTGCTGCTGCTCGCCGTGCTCGTCGTGTTCTAGGTGCCGTAGCTCTAGTGCGCTCTGTGTCACACGCAACACAACATGACACGATGTGACACGACTTAACCTGCTTGCGATGCCGCTCTCCGCGTTCCAGGTCCACGTAACTCCAGTGCGCTCGTTTTAACTCACTTAGTGTTCCCAGTATAGCAGACCACACGGATTTCGAGTGCTGATCTTTTATTCGCTTAGTCAACATTAGTCACAAATGCAGACTTTTACCTGCCTAGTGTTCCAGGTATAGTAAACAACACGAGTTATGAACGTTGACCGTCACTTGCTTAGTGTTCCAGGTATAGTGAATAGCACAGATCACTTTAAACCACATCTTAAAAGAATTTCAGTGTTAAATTGTAGCGTTATGCGTCGAGAATCGAAGACCCTACTTAGGAGGGAAGGTAATGTGTATGCATTTCGGTTAAGAGTCCTCTTACATTTCGGCGTTACGCAAATTTAGGTATTTACGCTCCGAGCGGGCGATGACCTACGCGAGCGACACTTTATATCTTTTCAATCGCTCGCACTACGGTACTGTGAGTATAGAGACTAAACGATCTTGATCTTTCATTATACAAGTTTTCTTAGGATGGAGTTCAGTGGATGGAAAATTTTTGGTGTGTCATTTTTATGTTATCTAATTCATTAATACAACTTATTCGATATATTTTTCATTATTTATGAACCTTATTGTTGAAGTAAGTACACATAAATATTTTAATTGTTTCACAGTAATCGATTGTTAACTGATGTTGGTTAATAATGGATTATATTATCTACTAACGGTGGCATAGTGGTATAAATAAATTAATAGTACGGTTGCAACCTGTTTAAATAAATAAAATAACCAACTGCAACTTATATTTTTTAATCGGTACTCACAGTCAATTAACATCTTTTTATTATAACACTATTGGTCGCATCGGCATTGACCGAGCATATCTCGAGTCAATAATTTCAGGCAGTACACACTTTTTATAAAACGCTTGTAACTTGGATAACATATTCAAAATCTAAAACTTAGTACTTTTACTGCATAATCTGGGCCAGTCCATATGGCAGGCATAGACATTTTTATTCTCCATTATTTTTTCTCCAGAGATATAGGATATTTCTTTTTTTACGTTAAGTGATACATTGATACTTGTATTTATTTTTCCCCATTCGGACTGGTGAGAAAGCTCAGCTACAATCATATAACTATAATGAGTTAACTATCTGGTACTTCGATCAACAATACCAACTATATAACGGGTCACGTATAAAATCATAGCTAAATACTGTCCGCGTGAATATATACTTAAACAGCTACATTTGTTTACTAAAGAAATGAGCAAAAAATTTAAATAGTTTTAAGTTCAAGCTAATTACAACCACGACATCTAGTAATAAAGTCACAAATCTTACGATCATTAGTCACAAAAAATAACAAAGCAATACAATACTCCTGTCACTTGGAAATGAAAAGCCGTAGGTTAAATAACATTTACTGTTAAATCAACCTTAAGGTGTAACAAATAAAGTACTTTTCCTCGTTATTGCCTTGCGAGCTACGTCGTTTTGTTATGTTTATGAATTTGGTCCAGGAAGTATGTATGGACTCACACTTGGTATTTGAGAATAATATTCAGAAAGTACGAGTTTTAATGATAATATTACTTGAATATTATGTTATAAATACTCACAGATGAAAAGTCACGTTGTCCTTTTGTAGATTTAACGTTTTTGATTGTTTTTTGCACGTAAATACACTGCAATTCGGCATTTTGTCGGAGCTCGATTTACTGGCACGATCACTTCGGAATGGCGCACGACGCGAAGCAACTAGTTTTATATAACGGGTATGAGTCGGACTCTCGTACCTTTTACAGAGGGGTATGCCTTGCGATGCCATCTCCTTTGGCTTAATACTCAAAGACCTGGAATTTTTAAGAAGAGACCTGCCCATTTTATTAAAAAACTTACCACCAGCAACTTTACGAAATATGTGGTTACAGAATAAAGTTTGCCCCACCCGTTACGATTTGCCTGTATGGAACTTTTTAAATGAACATTTCCCAGGAAAATGGATAAGTCGCATGGGGCCTATTTTATGGCCAGCACGGTCACCGGACTTTAATCCATTGGATTTTTTTATTGGATATATCTAAAAGAATAAAAACAATCCTGCATTTTCATTGCAGAGCTTCGACAAAAGATAATCGAATTTTTTCCACAAGCAAATAGAAGATTGGTGCGGCCTATAACACGTTCTTTCATAAGAGGATGCTGTGCCTGCCTGTATTAGAGCAAGAGGTCGGCAATTCGAACATTTATTGTAAAAATTATCGATAAAAATCATAAAGCAATTATTCGTTTTATTATCACTTATTGATTTTTTTCGTAAGTTTACAAACCGAAGGGGGCAAGTTAACGGGATTACCTACCTGAATAATTTTAGTCACCTCCATATCTTCTGTCTCGCTTGCACTTACATACTCCTATGCGTCATAGCAACTAAAACTGGGAAGCATCGTATGTGTCGTATTTTTAAATGTGTTTTGTTTAATACGAAAATTGGATAAAAAATGAACTACTTTTTACTTTTCTATGGATATTAGGTTTAAAATCGGCCAAATCAGCTTGAAAACGAATTATTTTTCTTAACATTAATCGAACGGACGAATAATTTAAAAAAAATCTAATTGAGTAATTTGCACAAAATCTTTCCACTGCCAGAAAAAAAATTATATCACAAAAAGTTGAAGTAAAAGTACCAAGTATTATACCATTTTGAAATCTACATGATTTGCGCCAACTTTTGAATAGAGTTGCCAGGTCCATGTGGGTACATTTTTTTACAGTATGAAGGGTCCAACTTGCTCGATAAAATTTTAATGTTACATTTTAACACTTACGAAGTTTTATATATTTATTTCTAACAAACCGAAATAGGTACTGAAAAATAAAATAGTAGGTATAGTAGGCATATTATTAGGCTGTACAAAACAGAAAAAAAATTTGATCGGTCCTCATTTGCAGATGCAGCATTAAAAATATTGACACGAAGGCTGATTTTCTGGAAAATTTATAAATCAGCCTTTATCTTTTGAACCAATCAATTTGAGTATAGGACTTAACTTTTTTTTCGAACAGTTCTTTGGTCTACAACCCCCTTTCGTTTGATCGTTACGTTCTGGGATACCCTGTATATATTACAAGGTGTAAGTGTAAACACCGTTGTCACTAAAACCATAGGTAGTTGGCTTTAATATAAAAATATTTATCCAAATTTAAAAAAAAAGCTATTTTCTTTCATAAAATTTAAAAAGTTTCTGTCCGACACCGTCAATAAATTCATGGATGTGTGCCCGAGTGATGTAATCACTGTAAAGATCACCGCCCGCGCTAGCTACCTACACAACATTCCAATAAAAACACAATAGGTACACTTATGTGTACCTCGTGATGTAACTTTTCCTTCATACTTTCATCCTGGCTTAGGACAGGCAAAAATTGAGGAATTAAGGAAAAATTGAGATTTTACTAAAAAAATATCGATCTCTGTAGAAATACAAAATATTCCAAAAACAAAATTTGATATATACTTGACTAAGGTGAGATAATATTATTATTTTTATAATCACAGATTTTCATTACAATGTATTGTTGCGTTAAAAGTACGTTTTTATATAAATATACTTACTTCTTACTTACTACGTCCCGGACTTTATGGAGTGACCTGAAGGTGTACTTTGGTGAATGCTAAATTAATATACTGGTTATGACTAGATAATTTTTTTTTGAAAATGAAATAAAGTTTGTGTGGAAAAAATTATTAACGAGTCAGATCAAATAATGCCCGAGTACAAATACGTAAAAATTAAAGTAATATTAAAGTTGATTTCCGATCGATTTAAGATAATTCTGTTAAGGTTTTCAATTAACAATAATATTTTTTGAATCCTAATAATAATAACATAGTAAAATTAAAAAAATTCTATCGTTGATTGAGAATTTTTGGATTTTCCAAACTTTTTTTATCGACGTTGGACATAAAATTATCGGAAAATTAAAAGCAATGAAAACTTATGTATATTTAAAATACTTTAAAGAATTGAGTTGGATTTTTTAAATTACTAGTTACTGTTTTTACCATTGGGCTTGTTACTAATCACGAGGCATTCCTTTTAAATTCTTGCGGGTAACAACTCATTAGGTATGAAAACATGAAAAAACATTTAAAATATCACTTCATTTTCTAGAAATTGTTGATAAAAGAGGAAACAACTTTCAAATTTAGAATCTACAAATTGTGGTTTGCAAAGTAAAATGTTATAGCAAAAAAAAAAAAAAAACAAGCTAAAAACTAATCAAAACCACGCTTAGAACTTTATCTACGCAGTAAGTGTTCTTACTCCATGCTAACGATTGTAATGGTGTAACCCTAGATATTAGTGTTTATATGGCTGTGCTGTTTATACTTTTTTTATCAGTTCTGTGTGGGGTTAGCCGAGTTAACTTTCTACAATAAAAAAAGTAGTAAATATTCTTATTGAAGAAAGCTGTATTTCACTTTCAACTGTACATTAAATCACAGATATCTCATAGACAAAATATAAAATAAACGCATTTTTGCCTTGACGTACACACATCTGAAGTCACACAAAAGTAAGTAGTAATTATTTGCTAGCAACATTTTAAAATCCTTTTTCGACAATTTTTACTCTGTGCGACTGTTTGATCACATACTTTTATTTGACATTGGCAGGGCAGTATAAATCTAAACAATGAATGTTTTATTTTATTTAATGTATTTGTAACATGTTTATTATACTCTTCCATAATATAAACTATAACAATGCTAAATCTCACCCTACTCCGTGCCCACAATATGGTTAAAAATTGTGTACAAAGTTTTTCTTCACGTAATATATGTTATTTTCAGATTCGGCAGTTCCGCAAACTGTACGAACACATCAAGAACGACAAGTACCTTGTGGGGCAGCGGCTTGTCAACTACGACCACCGGCGACACAAACAACAACAACAACAACAACAACAGAGCTCAGTTTCATCGACAAACTGAATACCTAGCCAAAACCGTAAACGCTACCTTAGTTAATATGTGTGTGGATACGTTCTGTAAAAGTGCGATACAGGTTCATTCTGAGCGTTTACTCTATTTACAACGCATTAGAATGTGTTGTATATTTGGTTTAAAGTTGTATGAATACAATGCTAGAGTTGTTACTATTTGTAATCTTGAACATTAAAGAGATCTAAGTCGGTTCTTATTTTTCATCTTCGTTTAATGTTAAACTTTGCCAATATGGGAGGGGGAGGACGAGGGGGATTTCATTACGATACTAAGAAACTTATTGATTCTGGGATATTTTATGATTTTAAAGGAATTATGCACCGCCTAATGGTTATAAGTAAAATCCAATTATAATTGATTTGTAAATCGGAGTAGTGGTCACTATCGCGTTCTCAAAATAGTTAATTCTCCGATCGCTGCCACGTGCTTTTATACCCAATAAGAGGAATGTAGTACAGTGTAGGTCAATCCGGATCTCAATCGACTCTCTCAATGAGAAAGTACCAGAATAGTCGTTATTAACAAAATATCTAAAGGAGACAAAGCTTTATCTATATAGCCATAAGGTTGCGTCTTGCTTGCATTAGTTTGAGCGTTATCTATTACGCCTACACATTTTATTAGCTTGACAGAGGCCGTTGATCGTTATCTTTGGGAACATTCTCGTGCTATGTGATGCAACTAACTAATACTAATAACTAAAACTAACTAATACTGCAACTGGCTGTCGTAAAAATATTGTGAGCAAACTCGCTATCTAAAAAGTTAATTAAACACTTTTCGAACATAATCTGTGAAACCCTTACGTACCAAAACAAATTCTTCACTACTAAAACTACTACAACAACCTCTCAGAAACGGGCGGACGCCTGGGTCCAGCTGTGGGATGTATATAGGATGTTATTTTAATCTAGCTCCGATCTTATTGCATAAGCGTTATACGTAGATTTCGGGTAAGAAAGGTTGCGTAAGTGCCTGTGTGGCAAATATTTTTTATTACTTTTTATTAAAAATAATCTTTCACTTTTGATGTCATGTATCATACTGGCGGTATTCTATCTCATAGATAAATGCTTCGAAGTTTGTTTCCATATTATGTGAGTGATATTCGGTGACGTTAACAAAAAATGTCTTTTTAATGTGATTTTTATTTTAACGTAACATGTAGAGGCACCACAGATAATAATTGGATTTCCACACAACAAATAAAAAAATCTTGGGTCATGAATAAGTTACACATAAGTCTCCAATTTATTTTTTCTACTTTTTTATTGCTTCAAAAGTGTCGGTTTCCTTTAAAATTTAAATGATACAATATTATTTAAAAATGACATGTTAATTTCATTAAAAGAAATTGCGTTGTCATTTACTGCTATTCATAAATATTTTCCTATAGAAAAAAATCCAATAGCATCACATAAAAAGTACATTAGTATCGACATGACTGTTTACTACCTTATTGTAATAGTGTTTTAAATGTATGTATACTAAAGTGGCGGCGGCTGAATTTAAAAAGATATTCATACCCTTTTCACTTTAGACTTAGTTTATGATTTCATGTAAATAATATATTACTCATGGTGGAGCTATGCTGCAGCTATATAGTTGTAGCACGAATGGATCGACTCGACCGGGGCAGGATCACGCTCACGGAATACCAGCGTAAAATAGCAGATCAATGCTGCTGTGTTTCGTATAGTAAGTGTAGAGAACCGGGAGATCCTATTTACTGAAAAAGAGGCATTTCATCTTAGTCCTTTGGGCTGGCAATGCATCAATATTTTGATTCATAATTGATAGATGTAGATGTCTATTAGCCACAGCCTCCATTTACCTTCAGGTGGGCTGTGTGCTCATTTGTCACATATATTTCTTTAAAAAATATATCCTCATTATCAGACCCACTGTTAAGGAATGTCAATGCAAATAATACAATAGAAAAAAATTGCGGATAGAAGTTATTTTCATAAAAACTCGTGTTAAAATGAACAGGTTGTAAGAAAGTCGGCTTCCTTGTAATATATTTATTATTGGATTGTATAATTCATTTTTATAAATATTAACATTGCGCTTCGTTTATCCTGCATTTCCGCTACATATTTTTACAGTCATAATTTTTTATCAGTTTACTATATTTGCTAAATTGGCATAGTATTGTAATTTGCAAGCAAATCGCTTTGTCAGAATATTTGTAACCTGTTTATTATTTAATTCCAATGTTATAAAAATTACATTCAGAAAATTAGACTGGTCATGCAATGTTAGTATGAAATATACGACCTTACCTATAATTGTAATTTATTAATTATTCGATTATTGCGATAGTTAATATGTAAGCAAAAAATGCATTAATTACTTTATTAATCATTTTTTCTTTTAAAAATATGAATTGCATTTTATGTATTTAAGGAATAATTTCTTTATGTATACAAGGAATACGCACCGCTTAAATTATATATGCGGATATTATCTACAAAATTCTGTTATAATGTTATTCTTCAAAAATAATTTCCAAAATGTACCTTATATTGATTCTATTAACGGCCAAATTTTGTCCTTAAAGAATTTTTACGTTAGCCTTGTACAAAAACGCTTTTATCAACAATTAAAATTTAAAAGAAATGTATTTAAATTTACTTGTGTAAATATTATTGTTACGATGTGAAAAATTTTATGGACTAAATTTAGTTACTAAAACTTACGTAAACTTTTAGATTTGCTTTAAATTTAATTTGTCCATTATTTCAATTTATCTTGATCCCAGTAAATATGTATTAACTTAATCGATTTGTGGTGGTTGGAGGGTTAGTAAATTAGATATTTTTCAATTCCATATTGTTGTTAAGTAGTTTTATAATTTATTTATTATATTCTGCTCAATATTGTTATTCTAATATTTTATTCTGTTATTCACGCGTGCTATTCTTCGAGTACTTTTTATCATTTTCTTCGCTTATTTGATATTTCTGCATGATCTGATAATGGCGTACCTTACCTACATTCAAAAATGGACTACCTAGCAAGTAAATTTAAATAAAAAAAACTTGTTGGACACTAAAAATTTTGTAAATTTTTAGTGTCCAACAAAGTATTGAATCGTGATTTAAGAAATTAAATAAAAAGCAATATAATTTTGAATATATTCGATAGGTTTTGAGTTAATTTTCCATATGTCATTCAGATATAAATTTTGTAATGTAAATTGTTGTTAATTATAAATAAAGAATGTCAAGGATTTGAGCTAATAGTTTTTTTTAATGAGGTGTGCTAAATGAAATAGAAGAAAGGGTGGGTACAGCTACAGTTCGCAGTAGAGTCGCGTTACGATACTCCGAAATTCGTGATAAGTCATGCTAGACGCCTAGATAGATGTAGAGTCAGGAAATTATAAATAATTTGTAAACAAATAAAATAATTATTGAATAACTTTTTGTTTTTATTTTTAATTATTGCTATATTATAAAGTTACGGCTAATTACCTACCAACTTTACCTCTTTCACCAACTAAGAAAAAAAAACGTAAATAACACGTTAGACGGGTAAGGTGTAAGACTAGCGGGTATTTTCGTGGCATCTTATATTCCCAGTAGTCTTACCAAATAATCTAATTAATGAAACTGTAAAAGTAGAACTGGTATTGCCAGTAAACTTACCAAATAATCTTATTAATAAAACTGCAGGGATTTGTTTTACCAAGTAGAAATTGTATTCCCAGTAGTCTTACCAAATAATCTAATTAATGAAACTGCTGGGATTTTTTTACCAAGTAGAACTGGTATTGCCAGTAAACTTACCAAATAATCTTATTAATAAAACTGCAGGGTTTTGTTTTACTAAGTAGAACTTGTATTCCCAGTATGTGAGAAAATTGTCAGTGAATGTTTTCATCAGTACCTGGTAATGAAAATATTCTACTGGACCACTTTATTTTTATTTTTGTCATGATGCATTTCACTTTAACGTTTTTTGTCCTACTTTGGCTCATATTTGATTTTTTTTAAAATAAGCATAAATTTGAATGATGCAGTGGGTAATTATTCAGACTGTATTTTGTTCACGGTGGCCAGTGCCAACGGAGACTAGATATGTGCGGGACAATTTTAGTGCCAGAATGTATTCCCCAGCCTGGTGCCTGCTTTTGTGTGATGCTATTGGCCAAGTATCAGTTCGACGGGATGGTAATCCGACACTATCGGAGAGAGATCAGGGGCAGAACCAACAGTTGTACGTACTTTCTGACTTCGGGCAGCTACTGAGAATATATTTAACAGAAAATCTCAATAACTGAAATTTGGCCCGACCCAGAATTCGACCCCGAGATCAAATATTTACAATTTTTTTTCACATTGACCACTTCGCCATATTGTGCCTGCATCTTTATAAACCTTTAATTTACAATACTGGTGACCATTTAACATTAGTACTCTTCCTTTTCGTCTTTTGATCACGTGAATTCCAGACATCAATATTATGTGAGCTTGCAAAATGTTTATAATATATTATAAAAGTAACAAAAGAAGTAAAACACGAGCTTTTTTTTAAAGTGACGCCATGTCTCATTCACGCAATTGTTTATGTCTCAGAACTCAGAAGTATCACTCGTACAGAAGTCAATAGAAGTAGTATATAAGTGTACAAAATATAAACCTGAACTATCCCACTGCCTCTTGCAAGTTTATGCTTGTCTAGTACTATTCCTATAATAAACTAAGTACTGATAAATTAATTTTTATGTACTGTGTATGTAGAGTACTACAGAGAATTTTCTTCAGCGGTGTAAGTCTACTTGGTAAAAAAATCCCAGTAGTTTTATTTATAAGAATATTTGGTAAGACTACTATGAATACAACACCCCACTAAAATTATCAGTAGTCTTTTACTAGTAGACTACTTGGTAAGACTTCGGGGAATACCCCAACTATAGACAAATAGCACATATTATCATAGTGCAGTGAGTGCACTGCTAAACAGGAATTCCCCCTGTACGC